AATCAGAAGTGGGATTTTACCCAAAAGAGTAAATAGATAAAATACTCGTGAGGGAGTAGAAGGAGAAATTAATCAGAATTGGAACAGTGAACTTAATATTAATTGTAGTACTTAAAATAGCACAATCTCCCACACAAACTAATTACTATTATATCTCCATTGAGGCTGGGTCAACCGCTTATCTAAGAAACCGGCATGCATCGGCGAATTAGCGATTTGGATCAATAGATTGGTCGGTTAGGGCTGACCCGGTCTTTACAAATTTCAAACACTACTGAAAAATCATTAAAATTCTTGCCTTTTGGGTTTTTATAGAAAATGTAGGTATTGCATTGATTTACCAAAACTATGTGAATGCTGAGAGTTTGTTTCCAATTTGAGTGTACTGTTGAACATTATATTATGTCAAAATGGTTTGTACAACTGTCGTCAATATGAATACATGGTCCACACTAGAGCATACAATTGTCAAGATATAACCTAATACCAAAACGAACTATGAACGGCTTCATAGTTAGTCGAATCCTGATCCTCACCACCATATTGTCGAGACAAGGAGCCTGGGGTTCAGATTCTTGAGAACTTGGATGCTATACGCACTCGAATGGTTTGTGAACTGGTGAGCTGCTTTTCTAACCCGAAATCCATAGGCTAGTTTTTATAGAAAATAAAGTTGAGAAATTTTTTTTATTTCTCAGTGATTTTGTCGTTTCTTCATACTTTATATCAAAATTATGACAAATATCTTTCATTTTTACACATTGTATTTCATCATAATTTCTATATAGAAACTATTTTTTTTAGTTTTACAATTTTATGTTTGTTCTTCATATTATACATTTTCTTTTTTATTTCGTTTTGCAAAAAATTCATTTTTCTTCATAGTATGAAGAAACAAATTTTCTTCCTCACAAAATCGTTATGAAATATCCTACTTTCCAGTATATTAAAATAAAATTTGATAAAAAAAAATAAGTATAGTTCACAAAAGCATCCACCGAAAGACCCTATAAATAAAAATCCCAAACAAAATTTCACATTGTAATATCAAAATATATGATTTATTTTAAAAAGGAATGTAATTAAAACCAGCAAGTGAAAATTAGATATAATTATAAAAGAAAGAAAAATAATAAATACCTTTGATGCTTCCAACATGAAATCAAATGAAACCTCTTATGAAAACTGTAGAACTTAATAAAAAATAATGCTTATAAAAACAATGAAAATTTCAAGAACCCTAAGAGCAAGAAAATCTCATTTTTTTTTCGTCTTGGATCTACAGAAATTTACGGTTGGATCTATTAAATTGATTGAAAGCTTAAAAATGGATGCAAATTTGGTCGAAAATCGAAAAAAACAGGATGGAAAAGGTGAGTCCTATAAGAGTGAAGCTCAAATACCACAAACACTACAAATCTGAAGGATTTTTTAGCCTCATGATAGTCTTAACTTTGTGAAGAAGAAGAAGAGTTAATAAATCATTGCTATTATTACCATCAGGCCATTCCCATTTTGCATTTAGAAGCAAAATTCTCTTTTCAGTTATTTTTCTTATTATTCATGTTCCACCAATTGTTTTTTTTTTTTAATGACATTAACACATTACTTTTATTAACTATAAACCAGTGAAGTTACAAGAGGATCCAAATACATAAAGGTACATCACACGAAATTGATAATCACTAATGAGGATTGAAAAGTACCAATTACCATCATCAAATAAAATTGTTAGGTATAGAACTTGGGAGTCCATGATTAAAGGCCAACTCATTACTTGATGATTCCTCTTTCAAGCTTGGGAAGTTTAATGGCATATTTATGGAAATGCATACCAAGAAAATCAATTTCTGTTGTGGCAAAGACGCATTTACTTTTCAGAGAGCATAATTCCATATTTACAGTAGAGAGACTGGAAATTTTCTAATAGAAGTATATGACTATCAAAATCAGGGTAGAATAGGAGTATATCATCTTTGTATATTAGTGCCTTGTGTTAAGATTGGTTAAAAAATGTTACTTAAAACTTTTTAAAAATATGTGGGTGCATTTTTCAAACCAAAAAGATGACTGTCCATTGAAAATGATAGTTTGTTTCCAAGAGAGCCAAACAACCAAGAGGAATATGGTATATTCGAATCACGAACAATAAAAGGATCACCTACAGGTTGGACCCAAATTTAGTGGTCCTTGGACTAGTTGGGGGTTGATTTGAAATGGGCTTTTGTAGCAGACATTGAAGCCGATTTACCTCGTGGCATGAAGCACAAATCCATGCCTAATATTCCAATTGCTTTTCTTGGGACAAATTCATAATTTTTTTCTGGAATCACATATCCTTGTTTTTGTAACTGTGCATTGCTCATGTCCCAATTTGGTTGTAGGAGAAACAATTCCCCAAGTTGAAGGGTATCAACTGCCTAGTCTGGGACAATTCTACTCCGGGGGTGGATCTTGTGGTAGCATGCACATTATGCTCTCTAATACACCCCTATGCTGATAACATCAGCTTTGGGTTAGTCGATTACCCGACTCCTCTGTATTTATATTCCTGTCGAGGTCGTGGTGCACCAAATCCACAGGTGCGATCAGACATAATATCAAGCCATTCCCATTTAGACTCGCACTCTGATTTATGCCGATCTTTACGAGAACTGATAAAATATGGATCTAACATTGTAAATCTCATCTTGTTCGATAAATATTATTGCAATATTTGTTTATTCAACAACTTTTCAACCATCTCCGTCAAGTTGCTAAGTCCTCGATATAGCTTGGCATTCCTAAGGCCATGACCTCCATGACTATCCATTATACTCATCAACTATTTTTGAACCATGCTCTAACACCAAAATGATGTGTAAACGGAGCGAGAAGCTAAATCCACCCTCTTTCGGTCCTGGAACGCGCACAACTTAGCAAACAAAGGAGAATTACAGCTGTACTCACAATAAAGAGAAGAACTCTTTCTTCCTTTTTCTTTTTTTGAAGATGAGAGAAGATTCATAGAAAAATTCTTCACCAAGAAACCAAGCCCCAAGGGTATGTCCCTCCTAAATACAAACTAAAAGAGATTAACTCCCAAATCTCTCTCACTTCTAAATACAAACTAAAAGAGATTACCTTCCTAATCTCTCTCTCTCATCCCTCATCTCCATCCAACGTTAGGCTCCTCCGAATCCCTTAAACTAGAATTCCCCTAACCGTTAAATCACGTCAAGCCCTCCACTTACTAACTTCAAACCACACCATCAAAATTGGAACCCCACGCCGCCATTTAAGGGAATAAAGAATCAGCCATCTATTTACTGTGATTTACATCATAAATCCTAGGTCTTAACCTAATCTGAAGACTTGCCATGTTCAAAGAGGCAAATGGGGGGTTGGTGATTGCCAGAACTTTTCTGGAAAATTGAATATCTCTGGTAAAAGCCCTGGTCAAGTGATGGCCTCTAATCCGGGAAAAATCCAGTCAAGAGATGATAAATTATCCGGGTCAAAGCTCTCAATATAAATTTGACAGAGAAATCATCTTCATTCCATTGGATTAAAGGCAAGAAAGAAAGCATTTACTCTTGCCATGCACACCTCAAGTCGGTCAATATAAAATTTGTACTATTTGTCCGCAAGCTCAAAAAAAAATTTTCCCAGACTTAGTATGATCAGTGGTGAACTTCCAACACAATTTCATTCAGATCTATTCGCCAAGGGTGATTGTGACTCACTCCCATTATTGCTCTGAGAGATAGAGTCGTTCTTAAATCATTAGTCTTCCAAAGTCATATAATTCATAAGACTTCTCAAAGGGGTGTCAATTCATGTCGTGCGCACAAAACCACAAACGTGATCTTGCTCTAAAGAAGGGGGTTTCGTTCAATGTACATCGCACATTCAATACAAAGTCAAAATTGCCCTAGAAATTTGTCTTAGTAATAAATTAACTAGGATCTACAAAAAGTTTATTATAATTTAAGCAGTGGTCACACGGGCTTTCACTGGCATTTGCAAATGTCTATTTAACATACTCCGAGTTTCCCCTCTGAGAATCACAATATTCCTTGAACTCACACCTGCATGGTCCTCTTCTGACCTGTCAAAAACAGGAGTTATGTTAGGCTCTTTCGAAGATTAAAGGAGAGAGAGAGAGAGAGAGGGAGAGAGAGATGTGCCATGGATTGATGGTATTGGGTTTTGACTCTCTAAACACCATAACCTGTAAGATATACCTTCGTCCATTGCTGCTCTACCTAATACTATATTCAAACTAAGATAAAGAGTCCTTAAGAATCATTAATTCAGACACGAATGCATAGTTCTCAAATGTTTTGCAGAAGCTTACTCAGTCGGTGCACTAACGGTTGGAGCAATGTTGCTCATTACCTCTCATAACCAACCATGAACTGGGTTTGGTTGGGATCTATGACTGATAAATTTAAATTGGGTAATAATAATCTAAACTCTTACGGATTTTGTTCGGTGTCCTAGCCTCTTTGCAAGGGCTTCATCTGTCTGTTTTCCTATTTAAAAATGAAAATATCATGTATCAATAATAAAACAAATAAAGAAGTCTTGACTGCATTTTACTACTGGATGTAGTAGGCAGGTACATCGAGGTTCAGATTCATGTACACTGACTAGGAAAATACAAGGGAAATTGATGTGTATCATGAGTTCATGATAGTCAATCTGATTTAACATATTTGATAACATTGCATGAAGTTCATTCATAATCTCAAAAAATGTATACTTACATGATAAAAGGATGGAAGAAGACCCCTCAAATTCTAGTTTCAAACATCCACAAGACACTGTATCCTAATGCATTTCATCAGAAATGCTCAAACAAATTGTGTTGTTCTATGATCATCTTTCTTTCTTCCTTCTTATTTTTATTTTTATTGTTTTTTGAGAATACTCAAAAATTTTAAATCAAATAGCAACAGAATATCGTTCAAAAAGTTTAAATCATATAGCAATAGGACATCGTTCAAGAGTGTAACCTTGCGAAAGGTGAAAGATACCCTCCTCGAACCTCTTTTAATCTTATTGCTATCAACAATATCAACCTGTCCAATATTCAAAAAAGAAATATCAACCTGTCCAAAGGACAAAGCTTTTCTGAAAATGATCCTATAACGATTAGAATATAGATTCATCTACAAATCCCAGGATTTGAACAACTAATATATGCAATGTGAAGCATTCAACACACTTGGGAAAAATCACATTAGGAATAATACCATGCAACTGAAAACATTAAACTGATGAGAGGAACCATCAAAAAACTTTATTAAATAAGAAATGTGCATCTTACAACAAAACCCCAGTAATATTAATTTATAAATTGGATTCTAAAGCAGAAATCTGCTTGATTAATACTATCCATTCTGATTTTCTTTTTATGGGTAATGGGTATGCAGGGTCTGCACCACAAATGCAAGAAGAAAAGCATCCTATGGACTGTTAACCAACTGAAACGGTAGTTCCTTTTGCTTTATTAAAGGAAAAGAAAATTAAAAATCCCAATGGAACTTGCTACATATATATTTCATTGGGAATTACAATCATTGAAATTATGCACAGTAATCAGGAGAGAGAGAGAGAGAGAGAGAGAGAGAGATCCACCTGAACAGAATATTTCTCAAATGGTCCATCCCACTCCATCATCACCATCATTTTAATGGATAGTTTTTTTTTTTGGTTGTGTAAGTATTTCAATGGACAGAGATGACCCATTGGATTCTGGTCTTTCCATAGTCCGTCGGATTACAGTATACTCTCTCCCCCTTTATACTGTTCCTTTTTTATCGTTTTTTGAAAACAGTACTTTCCCCTTTTTATCATTGACTATTCTTTATAATTCAGAGGATAGATATAATTTCTATCACTGATATTTACCTCTAGCTTCAACCTAAGAAAGGCAGAGCTTAGAGTGATTCTAGATCTTCAATTTAAACTGATCCAATAAAGTTACATTATCACCCAACAAAAAAGCCAAATTTCTAGCATTAGAAGCAAGAGAAAAAAAGAAAAGAAGAGAAGAAGAACTGAAACGTTATGTATTAACTACCACCATGGAGTTCCTCAAAGCAGACTTCTACTGCAGATATAGAAAATGGAAATTTTACGGGCAAACATTTTTTTTTATGTTTGAACAACAAGGATTTCCAATTCATGTATAAGAAATGCTAATCCATTTCAGAGATATTAGTTCACATAATTATTTCAAGACTGACGACATCAACTCACCTATTGTCTCTGACCTGCTTTCAAGAGACTTCAGACATGAGATTGAGACTACACCAGCAAACATTTTGTGAAATTGATCTAGGGGCACTACCAGGTATGGTATGGTCAAGAGTGACAGATTCAATTGTACTTTACCAGAAGGATAGGAGCATCTTTTTTCCGAATACCTCAAGCATTTTATGCCTGCAAAGGAGTTATGCTTTCCCTTTGTAAAATGAACTCATTTCATATTTCTCCACACTGAAACTGTCAGCTGCTGAAAAATGCTAAGCTACAAATTTAAAGTTGACTCTCCCTCATTTTAGACAAAGTTCAACAATTTATATTACTGAAGCTCCGACATTTAATGATAAACTTTCCTTTTGGTAGAGAGATACATTACTATGTTTGGTTGAGGTCGAGGACACCAAGTTCTTCCTGTCAACCACTTCTTCAACAGTCATTCAAAACTTTGCTCCTAGTCCTAGATTTGCCATTCAAAATGAGACATGATAGAGCATAAGCTTTGTGTGCAATAGCAAGGGAAGCAAGGAAACATATCTTAGAATAGGATGAGACCTTTACTAGAACAAAGTTGCATGCCAAAGATACTGGGTGGACGCATTTAGATATAGTTGATATCCAGCTGTTTTATGTGAGATAACTATTAGTAAACTGTCTTCTGGAGTTGGATTTGGACTGGCAGTGCTGTAGATTATAACATTGTAGTGGTGGAGGATTCACCATGTGAAGAGGTTGAGAACCTCCACAGAATAAGAAAGAAAAGCTAGAACCAATGGATTCATCCATGCTTCTTTACATGGGAGATCTTGAGCTTATATCAATGCTTCCCAAGGCCCCTATAATATCTAGAAAATTGGCATTTTTACAAACAATAAATTTCTCTCTATAAATTTAACTTCCATTTTTAGAAATCTTGGTTAATATGGTTGATTTTATTCTGTGGATTTGTAATCACAATAATCAATCTATTACCTTGCATTTGAATATGTAATATGTGTATGCTATAGTAGCACTATAGAGTGAAACTCTTTTCCCAGCACAAGCACCAAGTCTCCTCTCATCTGTCACATAATTTGTCTTAATCACTATCACACAAACACATGGGGAAACAGAGTGCAACTTATGAGGATCATCATCATCATCCAATTTTTATCCCAATTATTTGGGGTCGGCTTATGAGCAATGAAGGAAAAATCGCTTGAAGCTATTATCCAGTAAAGCCATTGGGAGTGTCATGATATAAGGTCCGCCATCCTATTTCAAAACAAGAGATATAGTTTTACCTTTCGATGGGGGATGTAGTGATGCCAAGCATACCGAGCCTCGCCTGATAACAGAAGCATTGACCTTGAAGGAAGGAAAATTGCCCTCCTAATAGAATTCGACGTACAATCAATTCCATCTTTCTCCATTTGCTTACTTCCTTCCCTTGGAGGTACCCATGTAGCTTGAGAATATTTCCTCAACTCCATGATGCAAGGACCAGCTAATGACAGGCTGAAGATCGGTCCATCAAATGCTGAGTGTGTGTCAACGTGTGGAGATAACCCAACGCCTGGAGGATATTCATTGACCTGTATCATATGTAAACATTATGTATTTAGAGAAGACCAAGAATCTAAGATGCTAATACAATAGTCGGTACCGATATTAAGAGTCATAAAATATAGTTGGTACCGCTATTCAGTCCTAATATATAAGAGGGCATCGGCCACTTTATTTATGTGGACACCAATTCAAGAATCATTAACTGCAACAAATAGAAACTCAGTATCTATGAGGAACATTCACATACTTTATCCCTTGCAAGCCAAGTATACTACACCTTATTAAACACAAACACTCATAAGCAGATCCTGATATAAAACACATTATAACCAGTTTAAGGGTTTTGATTTGTGGCATTGATCTTTTTAGGTAGATTGGGGGTACTATTTTGACAAAAATACAACTTTGGAAGGATCGACCATGAAACTTTGGGTAGAGAAATAGGGTTTTTATCAATTTCAAGTCCTAAAAAAGTAATTTTTTTGGACGAATATCATTAAATATATAGAGATCTAGTCATATTTTCTTTCATCTTGTATTTTTGTTGCATTTTTTAAAAAAATCTGTAAGCAAACATTTTTTTTCATTTGAATATAAATGAAAATGTTATCATACATGTCTACATGTGGGTAGTGCTTATTGGTTTTTCTTTCCAACTTGATGCCACTGGGATTTTTTTTTTTTTGGTTTTTTTTGTCTCCAGCATACTTACTTTGTTTCCAAAGTGACATTTCTCTTAAAACGAATCAGTAAATAATAATTCAGCTCGTGAAACATTTTTATACATGCCAGCATGTAGGTATCATTTATTGGTTTATTTTCTTTAAAATTAAACTTGATGATGCTAATGAGATGTTTTTGGCAAGGTTTTATGCCTCTAGCAAGCCTACTTTGTTCACTAACATGCCTCAAAAAAGTAGTAAAATATTTCTTTTCCACATTTCAATGTCTGTGAAAATATATGTATACATGTCTGCATGTGGGTACTATTTGTTCGGTTTTTTTAAACTCGATGATGCTAATGTAATGTTTTTGGTTGCATTTTATGCCTCTATCATGAATTCTTTGTTTCCAAAGTAATATTTTCTCTCAAAAAATAATAAATAAACATTTTTTTAACATTTGACTGTATATGAAATTACTTTGATACATTTTTACTTATTATTAAACCTCGTACTATGTTGTGTTATTGTAGACTTAGGTTCAAAGCTGAAAGTTCAAGTAATATTAGATTCAGAACTTCAAGTTTTGGAAAATATTGAGGGAGGTTGAGGATCCAATGAGGCAGTGATGGGTGAAGGTGGATCCAAAAAGGTAGGACAAAGTTGAATATCTAATACATGGGAAAGAGATGTCTTGCAATATCAGTCACTTCAAACATCACCTAGCTAAAGTGAGTGTGAGGTTATGCCATATGGTTGAAAGTTCAAGTAATATTAGATTCGGAACTTCAAGTTTTGGAAAATGTCGAGGGAAGTTAAATATCGAGGGAGGTTGAGGATCCAATGAGGCACTGATGGGTAAAGGTGGATCCTTAAAGGTAGGACAAAGTTGAATATCTAATATGTGGGAAAGAGATGTCTTGCAATATCAGTCACTTCAAACATCACCTAGCTAAAGTGAGTGTGATGTGATGCCATGTGATAAATGTAGTATCAAGGGAATCACACAAGGTATGAAAAATAAAAATTTAAAGACCTCTTACACAAACTTTCATTTCACCTTGGGAACTCCTACTTTCTACAAACTATGTGAACAAAACTACAAGATACTTCAACAATAACAATGCCCTTATAAATTGAGCATTGCTTTTTACATCTCGAATGAAATAAAGTACATCAATATAAAGATAAAAGAAACAACGTGCATGAGTTTAAAATATACAATGGGAAGCCGACTTCCAAGTGATCAATGTGCGAACACAACGGTATAGTTACAACCCTTGACTATCACTCACTCTCGATAGTGCAAGAAAGGTCGGATTTCGATCTATACTTGGGAAGCAAATAAATCACCATATGATTAAATGTCTTTCACATAAAAGAGTCCAAAATAGGGTTAATATGGACTTGGGACTACCAAGCCAAAATGGGTGAGAAAATGGACTCCAAACAAGCTCCAAATGGTGTAATCTTGGCTCAAAGGTTTGGTACAAGGTTCCAAACAAGTATGGGGTCAAAGGGGATGAGCTAGGTGAATGAAACAAACTTAATGCTCACTCTTATGTACCATTACATGGCATTTCCAGCTGCATGAAAAGCACAACAGTTTGCATTCAATACTTTAGAAAATGCACCAACTAAATGCACAAGATCAACAGGAAATTAAAGACTATCATTACAACACATTACGAGAAGATGGGAGCATTTACCTCACTGTTATGATCAATTTCCAGCAGCATTAAAGGTCATAACAGTAGCCTCAAAACAATGGGAATGGCGTGGAAAGGTTTTAATGGACACACTTTCATCAAGGGTGAAAGGGGTGCATTGAAGAAGACAACTAACACAATATCTCAACAAGGAAGAGAGGCATTTGAGTGGGGCATGGGGCTTTAAAGAGGAGAGGTAGGTGATTCAATTTAAAAGCATTCAAGTGCGAATTGAATGAGAGGAGGTCCTATTTATAGACATTTCATGTGGGATATAAAAATTAGATTAGATCTAAACCACCCATAGAGTGATCCAAGGGTTGAGAGAGGCTAAAGACCTAGCCTAATCAATCACCATTGATGGCTATCAAATAGATGGTGATGATTGAGTACACCCCTATCACCATACCCACATAACACCTCCACACATTTTCAATAATTTCTTAAATGCCCTTAATTTTCAAAAACAATTTCATCTTAACCATTGATTTTTCAATCATCAAATCTAAACCCTCAACAAAATATCTCCATTTCAAATTCGAATGGAGTGGCGTGCCACCCATGAGCTTCATTAATTGTGAAGCTTCCTTCACATATAAGCTTACTGTGGGGTCATTATCAAAGGGAGGGACATGACATCATCTTATGTCATGGTATGTCCCTTTATCCCCTTTACACCATTTAAAACTCTTCATTTCAAATATCTACGTGATAATCCAATCAAAAAATTAGGAGATTAATTAATTTTAAAAAATATAAAACCTCTACACTCCCACATGTGAACTCACATATGTCTCCACACATATGCTTCATACATGTGCCATAAAACACATTATATATAACAAGGTTATGTGTCATATCCAAACAAAGGCTTCTACGCCAAAGGTTAGGCTTTCCATGTCATGCCCATTGGGTAATGACGTGGCTGTCCCATGGAATGCATGGCACACATTGGCCATTTGTGTGTCATATGCCACATGTGCGAGTGTCCTTAATCGGAATTTACACATAACAAAATTGTCACAGTATTTTAACTATGAAATAAAATATCCAAAAATCATCTAAAATCATGATAAATCATTTTTCATCATTTTTTTTATCAAAACATTAAGGTCTGGAACTTTTAATAAATATGGAGTGGAAAAACTCAATTCTACAGGAGGTTGAGCTGTATGGTACTCCACTGGGCCAAACCCAAAAACCCAAAATCCAATTTCTCAAACCAATCCAACAGGCCCCCTATGCATCACAGACTTCAGTCCGGACATGAGTGGACTTATCAAAACTAACAAATAGTTGGACGGACTCCAGAGTGTTCAGTGGATTACAGGTGCCCCCCAAGGACATGCATTCTTGCGGATGCGGGGGTCCTCTCTCAGCACACGTGCACAGTTCTAATAGGTGGATCTTAACTTATCATAATGGCTTCCCAAAATGTGATTGCCTGTGCACATGTTGTGAGCTAGCTACATATGTCAGGAATTTGGGCTTATGTCCTTTTACAGCCCAGCTACGCTCACATAGGGCTTCTACACAACATATCTCAAACAAACAGGATCCACTGATCCTCAAGCTCTGGCTCACACGACATGAGGCGATCTCAGTCATACCGACCCTGACTAGAGGAATACCCTAAAACCACTCAGTTCACAATGTGGTCCAAGAACCTGGCCTCAGTCAAACAGGGTTATTTTGGCTTACCCGATCCCAGTATGCAAGGTTAACAGCAGCCACCATGTTACTGGTCACTACCACTATGACTTTGAACTGTGCTGGTCGTTGCATATAAGGCCTCAAAAGGCCATATACCCAACAATAAAATACTTGTGAATGCAAGCAAGCAATGCCTGCAACCATCACATCAACAAAAGATAAGTAGGCACAAAAACACAAAATGGTGGAAGAGAGGAAGACAGTACTATGCGCCTTCTTAAAAGGAGGAGGACTAGTCTAGAAGACATGTACCATCAGAGTACCACTGAGAAGCATAGTGATGTAGGGCACCCGAGAGATGGACCAAACCATGTAGTATTTAGCATTGGCGATGCACACTGAGGCTATTCACTCCAACCAGCATGTTTGAAAGGTAGAGATCTCATACTAGCTCTCAGCCTTCCCAAACTATACAACCTACCCGGCTTGCCTAGCTAACTCGGCTTGCCGAGGATCAAATTGACCTCCATTTGTCCAAGCCCCATTTTGAGTAAAGGATCCTAAAGTCGACATGGAGAAAGACAATTAGGAAGCACATTATGAAGACAATTGCTATGATACTGTCATCCCATTCAATGAGGGCAATAGTAAAGATTATTAACCCATGATATCCATCGTTGCAAATGCAGGGGTGGGATTCAAGCCCCCTCCTACAAATGAGCTTGGTGGACCGCAAATGCAGGGGTGGGATTCAAGCCCCTCCTACAAATGAGCTTGGTGGACCATATTTGTGAGCTATAACGCAATGTATCATAGGGCATGGTTGACCAATGTCAGATGGCTGAAAGGAGATAAATGGAAGGACCTAATCAATTTCTTGGCATGTTGTCCATGAGGCATGGTCTTCCACTCTAGCGCAGACTTCTCCATCAAAATCAACAGCAGGAGTCTCCCAAGTTACTTGATCATGCAATGGAGGTTATTTGGGAGGAGCACATAGTA